AAATTTGAAAAGTATAGCAGGAATACAGAGAGGTCTCCTAGAATTGACAGAATAACAGTAGTAAAGTAATGGAACAATAGAATAAACAGTGAAAAAGAAAACGATACAATGATATGAGAATAAAAGAAAGGCAGGTGGGGAAGCAGGGAGCAAGGGGGGAGGTGGGGCTTATTATCAATCTAATATCCACCTCCAGTGTGGTACTCTTCCTTTGAGTCTTGAGACCAACTGGCAGAGCCAGATTTTCAGACTTTTATGGAAAATAGGATCGTCCAAAGAGGGGATTACTATGGCAGAGAAAGCTTTTTCTGGATCCCAATACTTGGGAGTTCTTTGATGGGATCCACAGTAGGCCCTCTCTACTGTACAGCATAAATGGGGTGGGCTTGTCCTAGCAGAACAAGTTGATTCATCAGGTAGCCTCACTCTATGCCATCAAGGGCTTCTGTGCTTCTGAACTGCACCCAGAAGCAGACTGGTAGCCAATGCAGTCATTTTCTGCTGTCTAGTCACTTTTTAAACAAATCTGCTCCAAATCTGATCAATTATTGTAGCTGCTATTTCATATATGCCCATATCTTGCACCTGTTGTTTCCACCTTGTTTTTTATCATATAGATTGAATGTATTTACATAAAATATTTTGCATTGCTTGTTACACTGTGCCTCTCTAGATATCTTATACAATTTTAAATTGTATTTTATACATATTAAAATTAGAGAAACACAGAGTCACCAGGAATTTCCAAGAACTCCAGAATGTTCTATTCCCTCTTTGGAATATAAAATTCTAGAGGAGATCCAGTGGTTTCTGAAAATAGATGGATTTTTGCAGAATCTATTGTTCCACACAGCTGAGATGACGAAGCTTTTGCCTCATGCCCTCATGATACCACACTTATGATTATTGTAGCATCCGATTGGCTGGATTAAACCAAATCTTACTTCACCTCTTGATTTGAAAGAAGAATGCTATATTTATTTTGGACCTTCCTTATTTTGCCCCTACCTCTTTTAATTGCCAGTATTTATATTGGTTGAGGATTCAAGAAAGATGCTGGTACAAAATGATGATGTTGAAAAATCTACTGTTGGCTCAGATACCTGGGAGCCTGACTCAGTAATTGAACCAAAGTTGTTTTGTTCTACTATATTCATAATAAGAGAAAGTGTGGTTAAGATATTTGGTCTTGTCTCCTATAATTTGGAATAGACTTCTACCAGGATAAGAGGCCGGGGGAGAAAAATCTCTGCAGACAGAATAGCACTCAATGGACAAGGGTTGTTAACCACATAGAATGTGTTCTAAAATGACTGTCTCATTCTCTGCTGAGTACTTAACAAAGTGGAGAGAATTTAAGATGCAAAAGATGATTCTCACTCAGTTCCAGGGAGCCTAAGACTAGTGCAACAATATCGCAATGCTTTGTAAGGCTTCAGAAGCCTTCCAAAGGCTTTCTGAAGCATCACAAGAATGACACATGTGGAGAATGTTGTGAACGGCTTCGGGGAGAAGATCTGCCACGTCTAGCAATTGCCTAATATTGGGCCAGGCCGAGAATGGCCTGTTAGCAATGGGAAAATGGCAAAGGATAGTGCAGCAAAACCTGTGGAATGCAGAGTTGGAAGGGATGGCTGGAGCTTTATAGCGTAGCACTTAGACTTATAAGCATAATGCCTCCAACAATCTGGTTCCTCCTTTTACCGATCTTGGAAGGATGGAAGACTGAGTCAACTTAGAGCCTGGTGAGATTCAAACTGTCAAATTGCAGGCAGCTGGCAGTCAGCAGAAGTAGCCTGCAGTACTGCATTCTAACCACTGCGCCACCCCGGCTCATATATTCTACAGTGCTGGTCATGGCACAGGTCTTAAGGCAGTATTCTTCGGCATTGGAGCCGTAGTAGAGGCCCTGGGGTGGGGATGGCTGGCTGAGACTGAATTTTAGATTTTTTAAAACTATTTTTATCCCACCTTTGTTATTTTTATAAATAACTCATAATGAACAATCTTAATACTGCGTCCTATTTTCCCACAACAACCTATGAGGTAAATTGGATTGAGAGAGAATGCCTTGCCCAAAGTTGGCTTTCATGCCTCGGGCAGAAAAAGAATTCATATTTTCCTTGTTTCTGACCTGGTGCTTTAATCTCTGGACTGCTGAAAGCCTCAGAACGCTATCTACTTCAGCCCCAGTGTCACTGCCACCAAGGAGTGCTACTAGAGAGCGTGGCCAAAGGACAGAGATGGAGCGAGATAGGCAGATGAGGGGAATTGAAGAGGAGGCAGTCCCTTACCTTATCAAGGCTTAAGGCTGAGAGAGACCAAACAACAAATGGTTTGGATTGAGGTGGACGATTGCCTGATGACTGGTTGGCTTTGCTTAATTATGGCAATTGGGACTGCCAAGATTGCTCTTGATTGATCACATATCACATTTAACAACATTCTGCTTAGCAAAGAAATTCTGGTCCCAATTATTGTTGTAACTCAAGGATTATCTACTTTAAATAAAGTACAATCTCACCTAGGATGAATTCCAAGAGAGTATTCCAATTTTACTATATAGTTCAGACTTAGTTTATTCTGGTACATACAAGCTTCTGCTAAAGGAAAGATTATGTCAACAAAATGGGGAAGGAAATTATTCTAGTTATTTTTCCATATATCTCAAAGTGCACTATGGAAGATCTCTTAATCCTCCAGTCATTTGTGAAAAGGACCTAGATTTCTGTAATAAAGAGAGGAGATCCCTTATAGGATATCAATGAGAGATCTCAAAGCTTTGTTGAATGTTACTTAATTTTTTCTAAATATTTCTGTTTGATTTTTTTAATCTTACGATCAATTGCCAAAGTTATTTATAACAACCGATTCATCTTTGTGATGGTACACTGGCTTAGCAGTTAAGACACTGGCCTGTCAGCTGAAAAGCCGATAGCCTGGGTTCGAGACCCAAGTGTCATATAACAGGATAAGCTCCCATTACCCATCCCAGCTCCTGTTAACCCACAGCAACTTGAAAGCATGCAAATGGGACTAGATAAAGAGATGCCACTTTGGTGGGAAGGTTGCTACATTCTGCATTTTTGTGCTTGCCACATGATAACAGAAGCATCTCTCAGACAATGTAGGCTCCCTCAGCTGAAAATCAGAGACGAGCATTCCCTCCTCGAGTCAGTCACAGCTGGACTGGGGAAACCTTTAAACCTTTGATTCATCTTCCTAGTGTTGCTAGAAAGTATCAGAGTTGTTATCAGATATAATAATTTTCTACATTCAGACTGATGAAACTGTACATCAGTGGCCTCCAACCTTTTGGGTACCAGGAACCAGTTCAGTGGAGAGAGGTTTTCCCATGAATGAGGGGGCATGTAGTTTCATGTGCTGCCTGATCATTTGTTTGCACGGCCCAGCTTTTGGCATGCCACAGACCAGGACCTGTCCACAGACTGGGGGTTGGGAACCCCTGTCGTACATAGAGAACATGTAGGAAAGAAATGGGATTGGGCATACAAATCTCCCAAAATGGACGGATAATTTCCTTTACATTGCATTCCCTGGCCTTGGTGCAACACATTTCATGTAACATTATGTCAAGTTAAATGGTTGTACTTTTA